GGAGGTCTTTGGAACATGGAATACAACGAAGACGAGTATGTCTCGTTAGATATGAAACATTGTTACCCAGCATCTTTCAAGGGCTTAGGAGATTGTAAGGAATATTACGACCGCTACGGCCATCCGGACTCTCAATTCTTTCGTGTGTCCTTAGACGGCAGCTACGACGCGCCAGCTACGGGGTTCGTCAGATTAACGTCTTGGAAGTTGGCTAAAGACTTGCACCCCATAATTTACGCATGGTACGGGAAGCACCTACAAGAGAAAGAATGGATACCAGTGCCATTGTTAAAGTTCTTTGAAGAGCGTAAGCTCCTGAAACACACAGCGCATGAAGCCATACTTTGCCATAGCGCCTACACGAAGTGTCTCCCAGGGCACAACCCAACCGCCCGAATTGTCATAGGCAAATTTACCCAGGGCGCTAAGGAGGGAGAGAAGCACATGCAACGGCGTTTAATAACAGACGAAGGAGAGTTAAGCTTGCTCATAAAACGTGCCCACGATCAAGGAACGATGGTGTCTGTAGAGAAATGGGATTACCTCGTAGAAGATCAGCTGCACAAATGGAATGCGCTGTGTTATTACCAGGACCATCGACCGCAATATTATCACCTCCGCGCCAGCATGTTAGCCTACGCGCACATTAACCTTCTCGCAATGCTCTTGCGGTTTGACAAAGAAGATGTTCCACGCGTAGCCACGGATTCTTTGTACGTGAAGCCCAGTGTGTTGGAAAAGATGAAGGAATTTTACACTGCCGACGAACTCGCAGAAAGTGGCCAGTGGCGCGTCAAAGATGAGGAGATCAAAGCTTGGAGGGCACGTGTAGAATATCACGGCGAGCACACCCAGGGCACCGTAACGCCGACGGAAGAGCCACTGCCCTCAGTTGCCGACCCCATTTCCTACCAACGCTTCTCTTACCTTTACGGTACGGGAGGTAGCGGTAAGACGACGCGTGTGTTAGAACTCTTTCCTAAGATAAAAGTGTTAACGCCGACGCATCGTTTGGAAAGAGAACTCTGCGAAATGGGCCACGACGCGCAAACTTACCACAGCTTCTTTCGCTGGAATGGCCAAAAGTGGGTGCCGGAAGCTATCCACGACATACCTCCGGTGATACTTTGGGATGAAATCTGCACCGTGCCCTTAGAAATCCTGCAGGAGTTCGTAGACTTCCTCCGTGGAAAATGCCAAGTCGTATTTGCCGGGGATCCATGTCAACCACCTCCTATAGCCGGAGAGATGCCCCACGAATGGTTAAAAGAACTAACCACCAAAGGTGGTTACTGTGAAGAAATTAACGCAGACTACCGCAGTAAGGATCAAGTGAGGAAATTAAAGGCAGAATTAAGGGGCCTTAGCGACGCCGAACAATCTAAGGTGTTACGTAAGAGGGTACGAGCAAAGTCTTACGAAGACTTCCTGTATTCTTGGCATCCTGAGTATTTGGTGTTAAGCAGTAAGCGCGCAGCACAGTCGCGCATACAAAAAGATCTACTGAGAATACACCAGGAGCGGTTCCCTAGTCATTTGGTGCCCGTTTGTTATAAGCCGCGTGACACTCGCATGCAAAGAAGAGATGTCTTAGTACCCGGCACGAATGTTCAACTAGAGAACGCA